ATGATCCGCTTGCCTCGAGAAGATGTGTATGAACGATATATCCAGCAACAAGAAGAAGGAAAAGGATTGAATAGAGGAACTCCCAAACATTTGGCGATCTCAGATGTGTCGATATCAATGGTGACTCATTATTTCGATGAATCATTTCTTCGGATAGAAGAAGATTATGTAAACACTTACTCGAAATCTCACTTATCTGATTCTATTGTGGAAGACACAATTTTTTCTAAAGAATTCGCCATGATATATCTAATCCATGCATAATATCATGAAAAATTGATACAAATTTTTTACTGTGACTTAGTATCGGCAATAGGTCTAAAAAAGTATCTAAAAATATATAATTTAGATATTTGTACCCTGTTGAAGAAAGGAACCATGGCATATATATGTTTGGAATAAATTCCATTTTGAGAGAGTTGAAAAAGCACTTTCTCATTGAAAGGTTCTATACATCTGTCCTTTCTCAATACATTTCTTTAGCCAAAGACTCCGTTTTGAACACGAATATTGATCTGCATATTCCGGTCTACACGAATACCAATAACTGTAGTTTTACAGATCAGATATCCTGGACCAGTTGCACTAGGGAAAATAATCAAAGAAGCATCTGACTCCTTCATACATGCTCCACTTGGCTCAGGAGGATATAGCTCGGTTGGTAGAGCTCCACTCTTGTAATTGGGTCGTTGCGATTATGGGTGGATGTTTTATTATCCAAACGGTAATGATAGTATCTTATACCTAAACCGGTGGCTCACTTTTTCTAAGTAATGGGGAAGATGATCGAAACATGCCACTGAAAGACTCTACTGAGGCAAAGATGGGCTGTCAAGAACGTAAAGGAGGTAGGATGGGCAGTTGGTTAGATCTAGTATGGATCGTACATGGACGGTAGTTAGAGTCGGTGGCTTTCCTAGGGTTCCCTCATCTGGGATCCCTGGGGAAGAGGATCAAGTTGGCCCTTGCGAACAGCTTGATGTATTATCTCCCTTCAACCTTTTGAGCGAAATTCAGCAAAAGGAAGGAAAATCCATGGACCAACCCCATCATCTCTACCCCGTAGGAACTACAAGATCACCCCAAGGACGCCGTCAGCATCCAGGGGTCACGGACCAACCATAGAACCCTGTTCAATAAGTGGAACGCATTAGCTATCCGCTCTCAGGTTGGGTAGTAAGGGTCGGAGAAGGGCAATCACTCATTCTTAAAAGCAGCGTTCTTAGGACCAAAGAGTCAGGCAGAAAAGGGGGGAAAGCTCTCTGTTCCTAGTTCTCCTGTAGCTGGATCCTCCAGAACCACAAGAATCCTTAGTTAGAATAGGATTCCAACTCAGCACATTTTGAGTGAGATTTTGAGAAGAGTTGCTCTTTGGAGAGCACAGTACGATGAAAGTTGTAAGCTGTGTTCAGGGGGGAGTTATTGTCTATCGTTGGCCTCTATGGTAGAATCAGTTGGGGGCCCTGAGAGGCAGTGGTTTACCCTGTAGTGGATGTCAGCGGTTTGAGTCCGCTTATCTCCAACTCGTGAACTTAGTCGATTCAAAGCTATATGATAGCACCCAATTTTTTTGATTAAGCCACTAATAAACCAATGTGTATGACAAGGTTTATATAGAGTTTGGAAAGTCCTAATCCCTCAGAAAATATGATAAATTTCGTGCATAGGACTTGGAAGGAAGTCTAGTCCAAAAAGGAATCAAACTGAGCAAGAAATGCAAGTTACCATAATTGTCAAGATGCGTTGAACCTGTTTGATTATTCTTAAACTGGTTTAAGATGGCCATATTACTATTCTGCCGATGTTGAACCTGTTCGATTATTCTTGAACTAGTTCAAGATGGACTGAATGTAAAATCTCCCTTAAAAACTTCCAAAACCCTTTCTAAATGTTCTCACTACCTCTCAAAACATCCTAAAGCATTGTTCTCATCATCTCAGAGTGTAGTAAACCATGAACACTTGAACTTCAAATCCACATCCGATCTTCAAGCTTGAAATTGTGAACTGAAAAATTACAACTCGATTGGACTTGTTTTGACAATGAAATTAGTCAATGTACATTATATATATTTTTCACAATCTCCCCAAAATATATATTTCACAGTCTGAACTACCGGTTATATAAATATATATATATATATATATATATATATATATATATATATATATATATATATATTGAGTACCAAATAATTTTACAACTTCAACTCTATAAAGTTTTCAAAATTGCTAATTAAGTACCGTAATATGCAATATTCAGTTTACAAAACAACTTGAAATAATAATAATTAATAAAGCAAAAGAATACTAAGAAAATGGTCATACAAACAGATTATGACTAAAATGATTATGATAAAAACAATTGAATATAGTTAATTGTGCATCCACATATAATTAAGTACCCTGCTTCATCCATATTACATTTCTTAATGTCTTTGTATTTTTTTATTATTATTTAATATTTTTTTCATGCGGATGTTGATGTTTTAAGTCAAGTTTTCAAATTCTTTGTGAGCCTCAATTGGTGTGGAAAATAAAATGAGTGGACAGTGTCCCAGGTCACACTTACTAGTAAGAATATGGACAGATCCATTATTCTGGTAGGGAAGTTTGTGGTGGCTTAGTTGATCTTCATTTCTACATGGCCCCCACCCATTGCTAAAAGACCCAGAAATGAAGATATATATAGTGCGTGTGTGTGTGTGTGTGTGTGTGTGTGTGTGTATATATATAATGTCCTAGTTTTCTTTTATATATATCATCAGCTAATTTGATATCATAAATTTGGTAATCAGATAGAATTGATGATGAGTAGCCGCATAGTGCCTCTCTTGCTTTGGCTGCTATCATCCTTAAATGTCTTATTATTATAATGTGATGGTATTACTACTCCACATGTAGTTTGTAGTGAAAAGGAAAAAATAGCTCTTCTCAGCTTCAAACAAGGTATCAGTCGGGATCCTTCCAACAGGCTATCCTCATGGTCTGGACTCTAACAAGATTGTTGTACTTGGACTAGAGTCCGCTGCAATAGTGTTACTGGTTGAGTCATCCACCTTCACCTCTCCAATCTATACAATGTATTGTATGATGATGATGAATATTATAAGACGCACCAGTTGGGTGGGAAGATTAGTCCCTCTTTCGTGGAATTAGAATCTCTGAGTTACTTGGACTTGAGCTGGAACAATTTCAGTGGTTCTACTATTCCAAGTTTCTTTGGTTCTATGCCAAGTTTAAGATATCTCAACCTCTCTTCTGCTTATTTTGAGGGGTTGATTCCTCATCAGTTTGGGAACTCTTCTACAGAGATCAAGAGTAAGCCTGAGATCGAGAGCTATTGGACGAGGGAGTCGCAAAGTCAAGGATCGTCAACAATTAGTTTTTGGAAAAACGATAGGGTGTGAGCCTGAGTCAAAGTTTGGTATACTTTACTTGAAACATAGTGGATTGTATATCTCAGGACTGCAAAGTCCGATGAGGTTTTCCCTGTTAGAATTGTTCTATTCTACCAATTGGGGTTTCCTTGCTAAAATCTTGGTGTCATCTCTCAAACTCTATTTACTTTACTTGCACTTTGTTTTTGCTTTGTGATTTGATTTTAGTTTTATTTCAGTAAAATTAAAATAAGTAAAAATTGGATAAAAGAGCAAGTTGAATCTATTAACCACATCCTCTAGGTTATTTATCCATATTATATTCCACAACCATTCCGCTATGCACAAACTCTCAACAAGTGGTATCAGAGCCATCCTCTATACATTAAGTTGTTCCTTGTGGAATTTTTTATTTTTTATTTTTTTATTTTAAAAAAAATCTCTATTTTTGTTTTAAAATTTTGATATGGATAACGTTCTTAAGGAAGGTGGATCTATTCAATGTACTCCTTTCTTTGATGGTGATGACTATGCTTTTTGGAAACCTAACATGACAACTTTTCTTATAACTTAAGGTAACTATGTTTGGGCTGAAATTGAAAAAGGTTATAAAAAACCTACAGTCACAAAGGATGGTGTTACCATTGAAAAGGAAGAGTCTGAGGGGACTCAAGCTGAGAATAATGCTCAAGAAGGAAACACCATAGCTTTATTTACTTTGTTCAAATCTGTTATCCAATCTGAGTTAGCTCGAATTGCTTATTTGAAAATTGCAAAGGAGGCATGGGATATACTTCAACTTACTCATGAGGGTACAAATGAAGTCAAATCTTCAAAGATTGAGGTGCTTGTGTTTCAATTTGAAAATCTTAAGATGGAAGAAGATGAGCTTTTATGAGTTTTACATGAAACATAACCATATTGTGTCTGGCCTTTGAAACCTAGGAAAGAAAGTGACAGATAAGAAAATTAACAAGAAAATTCTTAGGTCTTTGCTTGAAAAGTTTAGAATCAAAGTTGAAACATTGCAAACAACTCAAAACATCACTACCATGTAAGTTGATGAGGTTGTAGGTCATATTAAGAACTATGAGATGAAGTACTATGAAAATTCCCAAAAACCTAAAGACTTAGCCCTAAAAGCTTCAAAGTCTGAGTCTTGCAAGTCTGAGTTTAGATATGATAGTGAGTCTGATGAAGAAATTACTCTCATCACTAGGAAGTTCAGAAATTTGATCAAGTCTGAAAAGATGAATGCATTTAAGAAAGGGGGAGAGTCAAAGTTCAGGAATAGAGAGTTTTCATCTAGGGGAAGTGGAAGAACAAGATAAAAAGAGAGAAGAGGAGTCTAAAGGAACTGAAACTAAATGTTGGACATGTGGTGGTATAGGTCATACATCAATAGTTTGTCCAAGTCCTAAAAATAGTTTTATTGCTAGGAAAGAGTCCAAAGATAAAAAAAAAAAGAAAAAGGGTAAAGCAATGAAAGTTTCAGTTTCTAAGGATAATGATGCTTCTTTTTCTAATGATGATTCTTCTTGTGATAATGATAATGATAATCCTCTTGCTTTTGTTGCTTTTATGAACAATGATGTTTCTCAAAGATTTTCTTTGTCTGACACAGATGCCTCAGATTTTGAGGACAAAGCAAAACCTAATAATGAAGACTGTTACAAGGAAGCAACAAAGGAAAATTATGATAAAGTCTTCAATGAATTGTATGTTACATATGTTCAAACGAAGAAAGGCTTTATTAAGCAAGGTAGAGAATTGAAAGAAGTTGAGAAGCAAAGAGATACTCTAAAAAAGGAAAGTGAACAGAAAAGGAAGGAGATTAAAGATCTTCAAGGAAAGGAAAGTGATGAGCGTTGAATATTGCATATTCGAGCCCCTAAATATATGTATGTTAAGGCCTAAAGTGATTCTTCTATCCTTTGTTAGACTGATTTATGTTTAATGTGTGTTTATAGGTACTTTTCCAGAGAAACGGTTAAAACCGGGACTTTATGATGAAAAGATTGATATCGAAGCTTACAGAGTCATTATCGGTCATCCAGAGCAAGCCGAGAGCTTAAATGGTGAAGTTTAGAAGAATTTAGGAACCAAAGCTTGAGCCTAAGTTTTGAGGCTCGAGCCCTGTAAGAAAAAGAGAAAAAGTCAACAAGGCATTAAAGTACGAGCCTTGTACCTTCAGAGCTCGAGCTTTACTCAAGGTGGTCGAGCCTTGGCCCTCAAGCTCTAGCACAAGGCGTCGGAATTTGAAAAGTTAATTTAATGAAAGAACCAAGCTCCTAGGGCCTCGTGCCAGACCTTAAGGATTGAGCACTATTACTCAAAGCTCGAGCCTTGAGTACCCAAAGCTCGAGCTTGGTACCTAGAGCTCGAGCCCATAAAGCTTGGATCAAGCAATGTTAAAAGAGATGAATCCCAAAATATTCTAAGTGTTGAAGGAAAAAACACTTTGAAAAATAGTTAAAAATATTCTAAGTGTAAAAGTGAAGATCGAGCACCATTCCATGAAGCTCGAGCAATAACTCATTGAAGCTCGAGCCTTGTTCCTAAAGCTCGAGCCAAACTTCAAAGCTCGAGCTCTACATCCTAAAGCTCGAGCCTTCCTTGACAGATCAGATTTAAGTTATGAGATTATTCTTTTTAAAGTTGTATCTCACTCCAGATGGGCCAGAAGACCTAAAAGCCCACCAGACCTTTATTTTCTTCTATAAAAGAAGGCACATGCCTTGATAAAAGGAGTCCCTTTTTCTCATGTTATTCAGAAGGCTGATATTATGGTGGTGGCTTTTATGGTTTCCATAACCTTAGAAGGTGAAGATCCTGAGAAGAGAAGTGTCGTCAGTGACGATGGAGACGACTACAACACAGATGATATTCGGCATCGTTATGAGTAGCTAATTTCTCTCTTAGGGCACTAATGTAACCCAATCTATTACTATGGTTTGATTTTTTTAACTCTGGGATATTTTTAATATATATTATGTTTCTTATTACATAACTATGAGCAATTGAGACAACTCAATTGGATTTAATGTTTTAAATAGTTTTCAAATTTTTATTCCCTTGTCTTAGATATAACTGTTCATTTTCTATTCTCAACCCATTGTTATTGGACGGTATCTGGCGGAGCCTTGTCAGGTATAAGAATGGAGGTCATGTAATGGTGTTCCAGCGTTTTTTATAAAAGAATGTTTTCATAGTTTATGCTAAGGAAAGATGGATTGTTTACAAATTAGTTAAAGTAGTTAGAGTATGTAGGTGGATAGTCCATGCTAACCGCATATAGGTTATAGATAACTGGAATTTATAAAATATCTTTCTTTAAAACCCAAATTGAATGAATGTTATTAAGTTCAATTCATTTGAAATATAATTTGATTAAATCCCTAGAGTTGAAATAGTTAACCATAGTACGAAGGTTGTAGTGAAGTCAAAGCCCTAAGACCTCTCTCTCTCTGATTACTTTAGTTTAATTTTAGTTTAATTTTAATTTATATTTGTGACAACCAATTGATTAATTTAATCAGTTACCTATAAACTAATAAAGATTAATTAAAAGCAGAACATAATAACTCATCTCCCTGTGGGTTCGACACCCTCTCTATAGTGTTATCCTATAAAGATTCGTACCATTGCGAGTGGTTATTTATAATTGACAAAACACATAACAATTTTTGGCGCCGTTGCCGGAGAGATTTGTTTATTTGTTTAATTTTTAATTAGATTTTTTTCGGTTTACCAATCTTCGGACATTCTGATATATCACCATAATTCTTTTCTTTTCAAGTGCAGAAAATTAGCAGTGAGGACAAAGACGCTTAAGGGATAAGAAGCTTTGGTTTATAAAACCTTCTGTGAGTTTTTGTTGTTTTCTTTTACTTGGAAAATTTTATTTTTGTTATTATTAGGATTAGTGGAATTAGTGCATGTTAACTCGCCATACTCAGTCAAAACCTTTGGTGTATGATCTTGAAATAGAGAGAACTCTTAGTTAATTGAGAAAACTTACAAAGCATTTAAATTCAATAAGAAGTTCCTCCGATAACATGGCTGATCATCGTGATGCACCGGGTAATGGTAATGGTAATGGAGAACGAGTTCCACTTGTTCCTCCACAACCACAATTGAGGGATCATTTTATTCCAACCACATACACTTCCCCTTCGTGCTTTGTTTTTCCTGATGCTAATGCAACCCATTTTAAGATCAAGCCTGCTATGATCAAAATTCTTCCTACCTTCCATGGGTTTACAATAGAGGATCCGTATACGCACTTGGATGTATTTTTGGAATTGTGTTCAACTACCAAGTTAACCACTCTTACCAATGATTCATTCAGGATGCGACTTTTCTAATTCTCTCTCAAAGACAAAGTAAGAACTTGGTTGCAGTCCCTTCCACCAAATTTCATATCTACATGGGATATGTCACAACAAGAGTTCTTAAAAAAGTACTACATAGTGGGTAAAACCGGTCAAATGAGAAGAGAAATCATGGCATTTTCCTAAATCCTGGGAGAACAGCTCCATGATTCATAGGAAAGATATAATGATCTTCTAAGAAAGTGTCCACACCATGATATTGATAATGGCACTTAATACAAATTTTTTATGATAGTCTTTCAGATTCTTATATAAACATGGTTGATGCATCTAGTAATGGAGCCTTTCTGCGTAAGAGTCCGGCTGACGCTTGGGAACTGTTTAAGGTCTTAAGTGAAAATTCAGTGCAACATGAGTCTTCCTCTAGGTATAGGTCTACACCTGGAATGCATAAGATTAAAAAACTCTATGAGGTAGACAAATCTAGTGAGTTAGCCGCTCAAATAGAAGCATTGAACCATAGGTTTGATCAAATCTTATCATCTGGCTTTGCTCCTATTGCTAATCCATAAACTACCTTGCCAGAGGAAGTTTGTTCAATCTGTGCTAATCCTTCCCATTTTGCTGACACTTGCCCTATCATGGGACAATCATTTGAGATCCCACAAGAGCAAGTGAATGCTGCATTCTCTAGACTAGTTTACAATCCATATGCTTCTACATATAATTTTGGTTGGAGAGATCATCTAAATCTATCATGGCGTAATCAAAGTTAAGGAACCACTGTTCCTTAATCACAGGGACAGTACCAAAATTCATTGATCGGTTGATCAACTATACATAAACCTTCGCAATAGCACGAATCATTGTAAAATAGGGCTATTGGTCGGGTAAGTCGAACCACTGGGACTGCGCTAGTCTAAGGCAACCTAAATGTCTAGAATCATTATAGAGTGATGAGGGGTTTATAAAGGGTTTGTGTGTTTGTCACTAAACTAAGAAATTAAAATGCATAAAACAATAGATTGCAATGAAATTGAAGAAGTGAGATACAAGTAGAAAAGACTAGGGAGATGAATCCACACTACACCCTAAGTACATGCTAGATTAGGTCTAAATTTTGGGGATAAATAGCATATATGCAATGGTCAAGAAATATGAAGCAACTCCGTTGCTTAATAATCATCAAGAAGTTCACTTAATCAAAACAAGAATGATCCATCAAAAGCTACCATAGTTGAACTACTTAAACTAAGGTGTAGAATCAAATACACTATCTCAAGCAAAAGACCATCAAGCTTTCAATCAAATAGTGAAGCACATGAAGGTAGGAATCAAGTATAAACCATCAAAGGAGGTACCTAAGCAATGGAATATCAAGTTTCAAAATCAACATGCCTTGAAAAACATTCATAGTCTATATTTTCATTGTCACTATAAAAATAAAAGCAATAAGATTGATCCAAGAATCATCAAAGATATGACAATGAACTTACATCAACCATTTACACATTAAAATTCATTACAAGAGGGAATATGCTCTTAGACTATGAAACTACCATAC